GACATTGCCAAAAGATTTTCGAGCCAAGAAGGAAAGAATGACGCGCGAAAAAAAGTAAGGAATGTACGAAAACTGAGTGCTCCAGGGTTACCCAATAATAGATGGCGCCAGTGTGTCCTCTCGTCGTAAAAGACGTTAGAAGGTTTTCAGGCACACGGTCGCAAACAGTCTCAAGTGTGTGAACCAACCTCGACGCATCACTCGTGCCCAATCCGGGTCATAGTCCTACCGAGGTAGCTGACTTCGGTAAACACTGAATCGGGTAGCAAACAAGTGGAGAAAAAAAAAGTTAGCCAGTAATAGTTCGAGCTCTTTGCGATAGGACACTTATCCAATTGAGGATACGTCCAGGCATTCTAGTTCTAGATCGAAAAGTGTCCTACTGTTTCGGCGCTTGTATTTTTTGGGCGCTTGTCCCGTTCAGTTTCTTATTCTCGGTCACCGTTCTTTGCGCGATGGTTTCTTTTTTCTTTTTTATTGACCGTGAACTAACTCGCCCACATTGCCACCAAATTGATTTGGTTTTTAGACAGAAAGAAATTTACTTATTTCTTTTCGACCCAACTTGCGACCACTGGTTTACTTGGTGCGCTGCAATGACAAGTCGAAAATATCGGTGTGATACCTTTTAAGTTTTCACGTCAGTTTGTCAGAAATGCATGGTAATACCTATCGACGCTTTTTTGCTTAACTGTATACTACCAGAGGTACTTTGCCGGCTCAGTTTTCAGTAGGGCCCTCGCATCGAGTAACTTAGTATTCATCTAAATTGATATTGAATTATAACGGGCATTGACTATTATCTGATGTGGAAATCTGAATTCTATATGTGTCTGGTATAGAAAGGAGGCTAGGTCCGAAACAATTGCCCAGGAAATATGTTTATTTCACGCTGCGTTTCGTCTTCCGTTGGCGTGGGATCAAATTCGGTCGTGCTGTTCCTCCGTCTGACAGCGGTTGGCTGGTCAAGTGGCGTGCTCTTCTGCCCAACGCCATAGCTCATTACTTTTGCTCAGATGGACAATAATACTCAGTGTCAAGAGACTGTGTACGCACTTAATAGTGACTAGGTTCTCTACGCTTAGAGTGGCGTCAGTCTATTGCCCAATTTTTTACGGCGGAACTGTTAAGGGCTATGTTCCCCAGGATCGTGCGGCCATCAGCAAAGAAATGATGACACCGAACTCTGGACAGCTACCACCATCTATGAGCGACGGCGGCAATCAGACAACTGGTTGCCACCGTCGCTCATAGATGGCGGCAACCTTCCTTCGGAGGAAGATGAGCGGTAGCGGAGAGAGCGGTGACGTGCGCAGCAGCGCGAATGGTTCCGCAAACCGCCGCGAGGCCGCTCTCGCCTAAAGTTTCACTGCGTCGATCGCTTCAGATTCCCTTATGAAAGAAGAGCAGATCAGTCGCCTGAAAAGCCACCGCCGAGAACGGAAGCTACAGTTCCGCTGCTCCTCCTCCTTCACGAAAGGGGAAAGGTTGAAAGTTTTTTATAAGCATCGCCATCCGGGTGTTTTGTGCAATGCCGGTGCAGCAACACCTCCTAGTTGAGAAAACCCAAGTCAGCAAAGGAGGCCATTATTGGCCAGACATTGGATGCGACTACGGCGTAAGCGTTCTGGTGTACTCGTGTTCAACCAGTGGGCGCGTTAAGTCCGTGATCCGGACCGCGAGAGTTTGGCGCTCCTTTCACGAAACGGACAGGAGTGCCACCGAAGACTGACACTCGAGCGCGCTCTTCGTGCATCGAGAATTTCTCGGAGCACGAGCGACGTCACGTAAACAAACAAGCTGGCTGCGCTGCTGTTGAGACCGTCGAGACGAAAGGCGTAGCCGGACCGTTGCCCCATTTTCGCTGATTAGTGCTTGAAATCCAGCAGTTAAAAACGATTTGATTTGAAAGCCAAGACAGCAATTAGCGTTCTGGAAGCGGTTTGTTCGTGCATCTCGCCTGAAAAAGAAATTCATCTATCAAATGGTAGCGAGCCGATAGCACAGCGGCAGAAAAGTTGTCGAGATAAGGAGACATTCGGACCGCTCTGTTTCTTTAATAATGCTTAGCCCAGCGCATAAAGATACTTCGATTTGAAAGCTGAAACATCAGTGAGCGTTGACGAAAAGGTTTGTTCGTGCGTCTTGCCTGAAAACGAATTGATCTATCGAACGAGCGTGCCGATAGTTTGGCGACAAAAAAGTGATGAAAAGACAGTCAGACGGCTGCCCTGCTTAGAATTCTTAGCACGGCCGCAGCGAATAAAGACACTTAGATTGGAAAGCCGAAACACCAGTTAGCGTTGCGGGAAAGGTTTGTTCATGCCTAACGTCTAAAAACGACTTGACGTGCTATCGAACGACGGTGTGCCGGTATCGGCGTAGCTTCCGCCTCGCTGCGAGACGAAACCGACGAAACCAGGGAATTGCCGACAAATTTGAGGGTTTCCTGCGTCGACAAGCGGGTTCAAGAATTGTTGTTGTCTTTAATTTAAATCGGAACAGCATGCATGGTCAATAAATAGATCGGCCAAGATAACCTTCCACATCTGTGCACGAAGCGAGTCTTCAAAACTTTCAGGAATATTAAAACGTTAGTAGAAACTGCAAATTGTCGCCTCCTCTTTAGCTTTAGACTCTACCGCTCCACACGGCCTCAATATTTATCTTCAAAATATTTTCGGCTTCTGTCGCCCGTATCCACGGTCGGAAGGAGCTCGTGTGGCCCGTCGATAGTTTCTGGCCGTGTTCCAAAACTTACTCGATCTAACTCTAGGGTAAATGTGGTTATCGAAAACCTACCCGCGTCCAGCGTTTCTTTATTTTCGTTGTCACGTGATATAATCCGCCAGGGTAACTCGGATCCCTTCGAGTAGGTTTGGAACGCAGCCTCGGTGTGTTGTTCACCTGTACGCTATGCGTGGTCTAGTTGCTGCGCTCGGAGTATGAAACTCGGAGCGTCGGAGTAGGAGCAAGGGAGCGCCCACTTAACGCGCCCAACGAGAACACGAGTACCAGCCGAACGGCGACGCCGCAGTCGTGACGAAAAAGGCCAAAGGTGGCCGTCTTTGGTGAAGCAGGAACATTCAGCGCATCGGCTTTCTTATCTAGGAGGGGTTGGTGAAATTGGCAATCGTCACAATTCTAAAATGCTCTTAGCTTTAGGAGCGGTGTCACAAAGCTCAGGCGATCGGTATGGTTTTGCCCTGTCACGAACTGTTTTCAGATTTCTGGAGGACGGAAACACCGTTTACAACGACTCTAGGTAATGGTTAAGGTAACTGGCAACAATGTGTGCAAGCACCAAGGTGGCGAAAGCGTTTTTACTCTGAAGCCTAGCTTATTCAGTCACTCTAGTGATAACCTCTACCATTAAAGGGAAGATGGGACACTTCCGCGTTTGAGAAAGAAAAACGATTGAATTGCGTTCATTTGGCCTTTTGAATAACAAATATCAGAATTATATTTAGATGCGACGCGCCGGGGAGCTATAAGAGCGATTCTAAAATAAGGCTGAAGACCCGCCCCCCTAGCCTTGGGCAGCCAAAAGATCCGTCGATGACGTCACGTACAGCGACTGTCTTTCGCGTTTTCTCGCGTTTAACGATACTTGAGCAGTAAATGGTTTGGGTATTCGGGTTCACGAGGTAAAAATACACTAGAATTCACTTCTACTTCATTTTTTTCAAGAAGCTCCGTAGCTTCCCTTTAACGTGAGCGGCTTCTTCGTGAATGGTGCGCTACTCCGTGCCCTTTTGTCAAATGAAGACGCTTCGCTTAGTGTGGGGACGTGGTACGTGCAACTGGAAAGCAGTACCGTCCTCATATTCTGTCTCATGAGGCGGCTGCCCCTCCTTGCATTCCGTGCACTGCAGTCGCATCGAAATGTTGGTTCAGTTTGTCCCGCTTAAACCTCTCCAAGAACCGCCTTCTGCTCGCTGACGTCTATGTCTACTGGGCTGTGGAAGGCGTTCGGAGCATCCGCGGTAGCTGCAGAAAATTAAACGGCGCGCATGCGTCCCCAGTCCAGTGACTCGGCATTTTTAGTCTGGCTGATACGCTCTGGAAAGGTGTACATTTTGTTCCAGCTTAAGCCCTGACGCCTCCGAGTCTACGAACTAATGGAACCAATCAAGCAGCGCCAAAAGCACAAGTCACTAGTTCTTTTTGTTGGATTGGTTCAGCAATGATAGAACAGTTACAGAAACGTGAGGAACACCATGACGGTGCACTTTTGACGCTGTCTGATTGATCCCATCAGCTCGTAGCGTCGGCTGCGTCTGGACTTAACCTGAAACAAAGCATACCATTCGATGCGTTTACCTGATAGATGCATGTCGAAAATGAAGTTACGCGTCTATGCCTTTCTCTGGCGTTATTGCACTACTGAGTAAAAACAAATATTACTGCTGCTATTACTTCTCCAGCCTAGTCATGAGTATATCAGGAGTTGTATAGCCAGCCGGCAACAGCCAGGCAGCGCCAGCAGAGTGAGAGCCCACGGTTATACCCTGTGTCGTTGTAACTAGGCAAAGGGTGAGCGATAAGCCCAACATTGCGTGTGGACGGCTTCAATATACGCTACGTATACGAGCGCAACGCACACGTATTGGAGCATGACGCAGCGAAAAGCCTGATACTTCTTCGTTGTAAAAGGACACTCCGGTAAAAGCGCACTCCGGTGAAATGTAGTGACGTTCCGATCGTTCTGCCAAGGCGGTAGCTTCCGCTCTACTGGCATGTTATGCGATCACAGCTTCCTGGACTGCCCAGAATTTCTTGCTTCAAACACTAGGTTAAGCGACGCCACCAGAGTAATAGCTCACGTTTGACCACTGCTCCCGCCAGTCCCAGGTATGCCCAATGTGTCTCGCTTCAGTCGCTGGATAGCGCCAAACCAAACAGAAATGCAGGTTGCCTATTCATAATACTCTGTGCTGCATTACTGTAAATTCTAGCGTGTCATCAAGCCCTTACCATCTTTATTTGCTTGATTTCAGATCCAACCGCTCAACAAGGCGTCCTTCGAGATGGAATCTCGAGTCACGTCATTGTTTCTGGAAGCTCGCATCGTTACCAGCCACCTCCATTACTTTCTCGGGATATCACCGTAACAGCAATTCCTCAAGAACGCAGCGCCTATACGGCGATTTCGCCCCTTCCTTTTGGGGCGCCTGTTGAAAGTCCTGGCAGTGCGCCTGCTCAAAGAATGACGCTTCAATGTTCCAAAAATGTTGCCTCGGAGGCGGTTCCAGAAGACACTCGGAATGGTCCCTCTTTGTTACTTCAGCGTCATGGCCCATCTAGACACGGCACACCAGACGATCAAACTAGTGATTCGGATGTTTTATATCTCGGTGTCGTGCAAAAATTTGACCCGAACAAAGCCAATCAGCATGAAGAGGAACCCAGGCTGGCTCAGCATTCAACAGGAAGACATGTTGAACGGGGTCGCCTTTCTTTGACGCAAACAGTCCCGAGCCCTGAAGTGTCTCGTCCTGGTGGTTCGGAACCGATGAATTTAAGCGATCATTCTAGACGGGAGGCATACCTGTCGAGGCACCCTGGCGTTCCATACCATGCACCTCAACCGATGATAAGCCCGAGAGAGCAGGTGGTGCCACAACATCAGCAACCATCCCAGCAGCCACCGCAGCAACAGCATCAACAACAACATCAGCAACAGCATCAGCAGCCTCAACAGCAGCATCTACAACACCAGAAACAGCAGCAGCAACAGCAACAGCAGCATCAGCAGCAGCAGCAGCAGCTACATCAGCAGCAGCGGCTGCATCAGCAGCAGCAGCTGCATCAGCAGCAGCAGCAGCAGCAGCAGCAGCAGCAGCAGCAGCAGCAGCAGCAGCAACAGCAGCAACAAAAACAACAACAGCAACATCAGCAGCCTCAACTGCAAAAATCACAGCAGCCGCAGCAATTACAGCAGCAACAACAGAGGCTACAACAGCAACAGCAACTACAGCACCAACAACAACAGCACTTCCACCAGCAGCAGCAACGATGGATGCAGGAGCGCCGGTTCGAGCAAATGATGAACATCGTACCGGTTCCCCAGCAGGCGAGACCGCCTCCTACGTTCGCCCAAGTTCATCAAATGCAGACACCTCCTCATTATGGGAACCTTCAAGCGTTTCCACCGTTGGTGCAAGCTTGCTTTGAGGCGGGCAGTCAGTACAGAGCCCCCAATTTCGGCCCAGCACTGCCGCGGCCAAGTCAGCAGCCACCTCCTTTGTCGCGAGAGGAGCTCCATCGAAATGGCCGATCAGATCCATACTCTGGGCAACAGCGCATGGAGACTCACCAAGCACAAATGCGGGCGGAGAAGCATCAGACACAACAGGATAAAACCATGAATCAGCCAAGCGGCGCCTCTCCCTTTACGCAACAAAGCAATGCGTACGCCGGAATGCACTCTGGGGGAACGATGATTGAAGGAACTCCGCGGAGCGCAGGCAACGCTAGTTCGAATCCATTTGCTCAGGAGGGACCTAAGATAGACCTGTATCGTGAGGGCGTTTCTACAAGAGCAGCGAGAATGGCCCCTTCAGCGCCCGGGATGCCAAAGCAGCACCTCAGGGATGTGTCACCCTATTCAGCGCTCGCACCTTGTGGTGAAAACGCGTCCATGGCAGACTACTCTGGTAATCTGAAAGCCGAAATGGAACTCCGGAAAGAGGAGCTCAACTATCTCGACGTCCTCGCATCCCAGAAGGAAGCCGAGTACGAGAAAGTAGTTCACATGAGAACCGAGAAGCTTCGAATCCTGACCCAGCTCGAAAATCGGTACAGAAAATCTACCGAACAAGCGCAACATTTCACCGAAGATGAACTCAAGTTGCATCAGACGTACAGTACAGAAACTCGGCCTCCTTCGAATGAAGACGAGAAAGGTACCTCAAAAATGCGCGAAGAAATGAAAACTCAGGTGGATGACGCTCGGCATATGACTCCTTCGAGCGTGGGAAGTGGACCTCGAAAGCCGTCGCCAGACGGAGGACCCTCGCTCGTGTCCCGTTCTAGCCCAGCGCAGCAGGGAACCCCGGGCCTTGTTCCTTATCCGGTCCAAATTCCGCCAGCAAGACCTGCACATTCGCTTGCACCGCACGCCAGTATCCCTATGAGTGTTCCTCTCATCGGCACTGGACTTTTCAACGTCAGAAGCTTGGACGTGCCCCGAGATTTGTCGCCTGCGAGCTTGCAAGCCCAAAACGCCTCGCCAGCATCGGAACACAACCGCCAGCCCTACGCTGGAAACCGTGGAAAGATCGCCCCGGCGCCTCCAACAGATTCCCCGAAACACCCGGTTAAAAGAAAGCCGTCCCAGCCCGAATTGGAACGGCGTCCTCAGGATTTGCCCAACGGTGCTGCGATGAGCGGCGCGCAACACCCAGCCTATCCGAAACAATCTGCTGGGGAGTTTTCCAAGGCCCCTGTTTTGCAGCCTCAGCATCCACAATGGCAGCAGTCCAAGGGGCCGGGTCGGGAACTACCCGGTGTGCCGCCGAATTTCCAGCACGTCTCTGGCAGCGCTTTTCAGTCGTACCACGCCTTTCCGCACAGCAGGTTTCCTCTCGAGGGATATCCGCTCCCGCCCAACTTGCCTAACGTGGCGTGGAACTCGTACGCAGAAGCCCTTCAGGAACGGTACGCTCTTCAGTTGGCGAAGCAGGGTCTCTACAGAGTGGGCCGTGCAACAGATATGCAGGAAAGGCAGAGAGTCGAAGACGTCCAGACGGCCCTTACTGCCAGCAGGGAACGCCAGAAGAGGCTCGAGAAGGAGGACTACGCTCATCACCAGGTTCATCAGGAGAGCCAACCTCCTCCCCGCCTCAACGCGGCGCCGGCGGCGCAGCCGGGAATTCCGAGGCAAGAACCGCAGCCCCACCCGCAGCAGAGAGCGCAGGTATTCCGAAACTTTCTGGTTTTCGTGGTAGTATACAAGCGCATATCTCTAGAATTTTCGTACGCTGAGACACATGCAGACATATAGGTGTTTTTACCCTAGTGAAAAAGCCATTTGTATGATAAATTTCTTGTGTTCACTAAACACACATGAATCATACAAACTATAAAGAACTATATAATATATATAAGACCATATAAGAACCATATAACCAACTTATAAGAAACTTCTCACAAGTTATCTTACATAGTTCATATACGGTCTTATATAGTTATTATATGGTTATTACATGTTCTTATATCTTGTATCACTCATATCTGTTTTATTGGACACAGAAATGTCTCATAAAAATTAGATTTTTATTAGGGTATTTTCTACATATGTTGAACTAGGTGCAAACAGGTAGGATGGCAACGAACATATTTTTGTGTGCTCGCTTTGTTTTAGGGCGTTTTGCGAAGTTTAGTGATGTTCACTGTGCTCGCATTACTTGCATCCTGGATTGGTATTCAATTGAATAACACTATGCGGTCATTAATGAATGCACGTTCAACAAGTCATTTGATGTACTTGCTGGACCGATTCCCCCCTCCACACGCACACACTAATGCCTAACGACGATGGCTACACGAGTAAATAATGAAGACTCTTGTTTTCTGTAATTTACCAAGAGAAATGTTAGCATGCACCGCTGTGTGATTTTAGGAAACTTAGATTTGGGAGGGTCGTCCCGAATTGCCGCAATGTTTCCTCGTCACATTCCAGCAGTATGTTTACTACACCCCGGTACTTCAAGGATTTTATGGTTGAGTTTGGCGAGGGGGGATACGAAGAGGAGGCAGACATATTAAAAGGAGGAAGGCGGAGACTACGATATGGGAATTATCCTACAATTTAAAATACTTAGATTAAATTTTAGCTTACTGTGGTCGGGCTGCCGCCACGGCACATTTTCAGCACCCGGTGTTATCACGCTTTCTCCCTAAAGGCAGGTGGGCCCTGGGGTAAATATTGTTTTCGTAATTGCTAACAAAAGAGAGCGCGTTATTTCTTTTATATCGATTTCTTTTTTTGTTTACGGAGAAATGCCTGCGTCTTTTGAATTTAAACGTCTATGTTCCAACCATTTGACGGATGTCGTTGTTACCGTTTTTTTAAGGTGGCCCCAGCAACTGCCAACAAGCTCAACTCCTGTGGCTTCTGTGGTCAATACGCTATGTACATGTGCTCGGGCTGCCAGAATATTTGGTACTGCGGGCCCCAGTGTCAAGTAAGAAATGCTTCATCTGTTGGGTTTTAGGGTAAAGGTTTTCTCAGCACGACCAAGTTCAAATCCTTCGGTCATTGCTGCGGAAGGTCTTTGGTACCAGGAGATATGCACTAAGTCCGTTGTATAGGAATAAAATTATTTCACCTATTTCAAAAGTGCTTTTTGAACTGCTCCAATTTCGAAAATACACTTATGCTGCTTGGAGTGCTAAATTGTTTACCATTTCCCGCATTTCCGTATTAACGCGACACCATTAAGAAGCTTGTGTCGTAGAAAAGTCAATGTTTGTGGCGTGACGGAAAAATCCTGATTGGTCGATAGGGTCACGACGTCACAGCCACATCTATGCAGCCACAATGTTCCTAACAACGACAATGGAGAAATCGGAGCTAGGCGACGTATATTCTCTCCATTGATCTCACTCTACACCATCCTATCAAAACGTTTTTTTTCGGTCTTAATTTTTACTAATCGGTTACCACGTCGTGAGAAGACTAGCAAGCAAAAATGTTATTCTCTTATAAAAAGAATGAACGCTGTGGACGCTTTAAGCCCAAGTTTGGGGGATTTGATGGTGTTTTTGCAACGCAAAACTCTTAAGACTGTTGCCTGTATCAAGGCCGTCAACCTTTCTTTAACGCATGCTAACGTTAAGGTGGCACCACCCGTCCATCTTACTCGAACTGCGGAGTGCTTCCCCATCCATCGGCTTTCGTGGCTGCAGCAAGTTTTCTGACATTGTATGTTATTTGTCCGTTTGTTTCAGAAAAACAACTGGGTGAACCACTCTCACATGTGCCAGGGTTCCAAACGTTGAACAAAGTTAACAACTCTGTCGGCTGTGATCATCGCATCAGCTCGCCTCGCCTACCGTATTTTGCCTGATAGCCACAATAGATAGGCTGTCTACGTGTGTGCAAAGGGACCAAGCACCTGACTACAAGTTGAAACGACTGTCTCCAAGAATCTCTGCTCAGCTGTTCTCTTCAAGTGTGTTGTGTGAACTAGTTCCGCTCCTGCCACCCCTCTGCCTGTCGAACTTGACAAATGTGGGTGCTTGCTGTAGTCCATGCCACATTGTGATACATCAGGGTGTGTATTGTATTACCCCGCGTTGTTCGCCGGGAGCCTTAACATCAAAACTCTTCGTGATGAGTGAGTTTGCTTTTTTCTAGTTTTATCTTCACGTAATCTTGCGCTTTCTGTGATGTAGTGCGTGTTTCATGCCAATTCAATGGCAGAGAACAGGTTGATGGTGGCACGTTTCAGTAGCCAACCCTTGTGGCCAGTTACCAGTCTTTCAACAACATTCATTCAGGTTACGCGGGCGAGGGCTCTACGCCTTTTCGAGTACTGCGACGTAAATATAAACCTGCCATGTCCTTGGAAGCTGTAGGGCTTGGGCGGCTTCTGTTCCCAACTTCTGCGCATTTGCGGTGAACACAAGAGCAACAACAATCCTTCGCGCTTCGCGAATAAAAAACAAAACAAAAAAAAAACAGCCACACCTGACTGCCATTTGACGATTCCAATCGATAACCGGCACGAAGCCTCACACGTGTTTCTGAAGTGAGCTTTCCTTGTAACTTTTCACAACTTTAAAAGGGGTATCAGTTTAAAACCCAAGGATTGTACGTCTGAGACAAAACCCAATTCTACTGGCGCTTTTTTTTTTGTTACGACCAAAGAATTTACCTGAAGTCAGATTGTTTTATATAAAATGAATAGTTTATTTTCAAGCTCACCTGTGTCATGAATGTTACCACTGTCACCGTATCTGTTAATTATTCGGTGCCATCAGGTGAATTTCGTGTTATTCTAGTTCATTTTTTGCTGTTGCGGTTGTATGAAGGTGGTTCGGACGTTTTCAAGAGGAAAGGGGGGCTTTTATATGTTGACATGATGGTTATCTCTTTTTCACTTTTACCGTGTTGCAGTTTTTATCATCAGCTAATGATGTCGCAACGGGTGCGTTCTGTTGACAGAGTGTGTTATCTGTTATCAAAAGACAATCACCTTACACGAGTTTCAAAGAAAGGCCGTGGATTCTTCTATGAAACTGCGAATTCATGAAGCTTGACTGGCCCCGGGCGCGTTTGACCACTACGCCTCAGCCATGTTTTGCCCCTGTGCCTGGTCCCGGTATCACGATTATGCTCGAGGGTTTGTGTCTACACAGTGCCGGTCGCTACTTTATTAATGACCTGCAACATACTCGTGATATCCATACAAAGCAATATTGTCATACATCACGCTCATTATTTTCTTTCGCATGGGTGTAAAATTATCACGGATATGTTTTGTCGTGAGCACCTCAACTGGGCGTGTTGTTTACTGGCACCGCAGGGCAATATTGTTGTTATTTAATAATTGTACAGTTTTGCAGAACCGTTTTGTAACCTCTTCATTTGATTTTATCATTATCGTGTTTTCTCGTGTGCTCTTCGTGTTCAATCCTTATGTAAATAAAGTCATCCCCGCTTCACTTTCCTACGAGATGAGATATACTATCTGATAAGTTTTATGTACATGTGCTTTATATTAAACGTTTGTTAAGATGACTTTGGCACGTCTTTGTTTCCTTATAATTTGGACGCCCTTAAATAAAGTATGTGGGGCGGGTGGTCAAATAAAGCGTTTATTCAAAGTTAATATTAGTTCTATTCTGATGCCTTATCAGAAAAACGAGATTGCGTTCACAGTGTCAGATATGTCGAGGGATTTTCTTGCATTTGCGTAACCTAGTCATTAATTTGTGATTTGACGATATGTGGTTAAACTTGTATGTAATTTATTACAACTAATAAAATTATTTACACGGAGTAAATATTTCGACTAATTCTGTAACAGTATAATTATTTGACGCACTATCACAAATATTTTGACGATAAATTCATTTGACTATTTGTAATCAGCACAGTTTCAAGACTCAGGCTTTCTTATTGCAAGCTCTCGGCTCTGCCCAGTGCCCACCACCAATTTTATAACTTAACAAAAAAAGAAAGCACACCCCTTCTGCCGCTGACAAAGGTGTCAGTCACCTTCCATCTTCCGGATGTGACCACTTTGTCACGATATTCAACTCTTTGGAGATCAGTGGATTGACGATCTTAATCCAAGTGTCTGTCATTATCGAAACAAGCAATGCAAATCGCTTAGTCCAGCTGCTTCATCGCGATGTTTGAAAAGCGAAGAGTCTAGGGTTAAGGGTATCCTCCGTTACCTCCGTTACCGCCAACTAACCGATCCAAAGTTCTACGAGCCACTGACGGGCGCCCCTGCGGCAGAACACGTGCGGGTCGCAATCTAGGCACTAAAGGGTCTTCTGGAACAAGAAATGTAACTACTAAGGAATGCAATACAATAAAGCCAACTTATCCTTCCTGTGGTCGCTTCTGCATGCTCCCAAAAATCCGTAAAGCAGGCAACCCAGGTCAAATAATCGGGTCAGGATAAGCTACGATAACAGCCGATATCGGGCTACTTAGACATCTTAATCAGGCACATACCCCTAACTTTAGGCTCTTATAGCAAGGATACTGCCCACTTCTTGGGAGACATTTCTGAGTTGCGTGTACCCGACGGGTCGTATCTCGTCACCCTAGATGTATCATCTCTCTACACCAATACCCCACATGTCGACAGAATGGCCTCTCTAATTGAAATGTACAAACTAGACAGACAAGCAGACGCCCCCGATAGTCAAGTAATTGTCACTCTCACTCATCGGGTCTTGGAACTGAACTCATTCGAATTCAAAAAAGAAGATTATAGGCAGGTTATCGGCACTGCGACGGGTACTAAGATGACACCTTGTTATGACAACATATTTATGGGAAAACTGCAGACCAAATTTCTCTCTGACTCTTCTTTACAACAATCGATCTACAAGAGGTTTATAGATTACATTTTTCATATGTGGCCGCAGACAAAAGAGAAGCTGCTAGAGTTTATAAATCAGTACAACACTGTGAATCAAACTATCTGCTTTGCTCACACCTATTCTCAGACCAGTATCAACTTCTTGGATACCACTGTAATATTAGACAAAGGGAACCTTACAACGAATCTTTATCGTAAGCCTACAGATCGGCAAAACTACCTCCACTACGAAAGCGACCGTCCACGTCATTATAAGAATGGTATACCCTACAACCAAGTCCATTTCTTCAAACGTCTATGCTCACGACAAGAGGATTTACAATCGAGCTCTCATCATCTAAAAACGCACTCGAAAAACAAAAATATCCTCCGCGAGTTATCGACGACGCAATTAAAAAAATCGCCCAACTAAACCGCGCTGACCTCTTGGAAGGCCGTCCTCCTCAGTGCAACACGCAGGGCACGAATTTATGTCTAACTTATGGTACGAATTTCCCCAACGTAAATAATACTTTAAGGCGTCGTTATAACACAGTAGAAGAAAGCGAACGTTTCAAACGTGCATTCCCATCAGCTCTCGGGGTAATTTACAGACGATCACGCAACCTTAGAAACAGCCTAGCTAACCCCCGACTGAATTCGTCCCAGCAAAATAACGGATGCCAACCATGCATAAACGCAGGATGTCTGGTCTCCGAACAAATGCGAGAAACTAACAAGACCAATAGCACACATCCACAGTTCTCCATAAACATTCGAGGGCAGCTTATCATCATCATCATTTATTTTCCTTGAGGGCCCCAGGGGGCATTATACAAGGAAGTGAACACAATAAAAACATCAACAAAAATAGTTACTAAAAAACACGCTGTAACCTATACTTGTATTTCAGAAAGAAAGAGGTTAACGGCTGCAGCGAACTTGTTAGTGTCAGTCATGTTTACAATGAGGTCAGGTAATGAGTTCCAATTGTCAATAGCAGATGGTAAAGTCGACATTTTATAAGAGACAGATGACGAAGTAATTGAGCGCAGTTTACATGAGTGGTCCAAACGAGGGAAAATACGGTAGGGAGGTGATAGTAGAGAATGTTTTAGATGGTTGTTGTGGTAAAAGATTTGGTGAAGAAGAGTGAGACGTGACACCCTTCGACGTAAAGAAAGTAAGTCAAGGTTAGCTGATTTACGTAATCCTGATATGCTAGTGTATGGGGAGTAGTCAGAGTAAATAAAACGAAGACCTCTGTTTTGAACGGATTCAAGGTTGTTAGTTAGATATGATTGCCATGGTGACCATATGGATGAAGCAAATTCAAGTTTAGATCTGACCAAGGTCGTATAAGCTAGTAGTTTTACTGAAGGTGTAGTCTGAGGTTACGGCGAAGAAATCCGAGAGTACGGTTAGCATCGGCAATGACAGCATTTATGTGAGCAGTCCATGATAGATCAGAGGACAGGTGAACGCCTAGGTATTTATATGAGGAACAGGTAGCTACTAGGATAGTGGAAAGCTGATAAGAAAAGGATGAAACATGTGAACTGCGGGTGAATCATAGAGGTTTACATTTATTAAAGTTTAAACTCATTTGCCATTTGTGGCACCACTGAGTTATAAGTGCGAGGTCATTCTGCAAAATTTGATTATCGTGGTTTGAATTAATAGGTCTATAAATAACACAGTCGTCGGCGAACAGACGTATTGAAGAGGAGATGTTGAGGTAGAGATCATTAATGTATATTAAAAATACAAGGGGGCCAAGAACGGTTCCGTGGGGGACGCCGGAGGTTACAGTGCAGGTGGTAGATTTAGTGTTGTTAATAGATCCATGAGTACTGGGTGCGATTTGTGAGGAATTCGGAGATCTATTTGACGACTGAGGGATGGATATTAATATTTCTAAGTTTCAGTAAGAGACGTTGATGAGGGACCCTGTCAAATGCCTTGGAGAAATCGATAAATATGGCGTCGGTTTGCTTATTAGAATCAAAGTTTGAGTAAACGTCAGTAAGAAAAGCTGTTAGTTGCGTTTCGCATGAGTATGACTTGCGCAAGCCGTGCTGATGCTCGAAAAGAAGGCTGTGGGAGTCTAGAAAGTTTATTATGTTAGAATAGAGTATATGCTCTAAGGGTTTAGACAACACACTGGTGAGCAAGATGGGGCGATAGTTGTTGATTAGTTGGTGATCACCTGCTTTGTAAACGGGGATGACGTTAGCGATTTTCCAATCGCATGGAGTTTCAGAAATTTGAAGAGACTGCGAGAAAATGTCGCAGAGGAAAGTTGAAGAGACGTGCTTAGTATTTATTAATATTTTCGGGTTTATTTGGTCGTCGCCAGAGCTAGAAGACACCTTCAGCTGATCAATGGATTTTAGTACACCAGAGTGGTCGATCATGATAGGATTCATAGGAGGATGAAGGGGTTGGCACAAGTTGGGCATACCTGACAAGTCTTCATTGGTAAAGATCGAGCTAAAAAAGTTGTTAGTTTCAAGAGCACTATGTTCGTCAGAAAGTGGAAGGCCGTACTCGTCAACGAATTGTAATGGAAGAGAGAGTGCTGGGTTAATTACTTTCCAAAACTTTTTAGGTTTATTGGTTAAAATGTTGGGAGGTCATGAGTATAAAATTTGGATTTGGCATCATGAATCGCGGATTTGTAGGCCCTAGCGCATTCGTTATAGGCGTTCCAAGATGCGTTAGTGTTATGAGCCTTTGCCCTCGTATAAGCTTATATGTTATTCCCCAGATGTAATTTATCCGCTACAGTGCGAGGTGTACAAAGACGGTATATAGGACAGACTGAGCGTTTAGGCTACGTTTTAACAATCACAGAGCGTACGCAAAATCCCTGCCGAGCCTGCCCATTTCAAGACATCTCAGCTTCCAGAACCACAGATTTGATAAATTATCTGTTACACTTTTAGAATCTGGATTCAAATCAAATCGGGAACGCGAACAACGGAAGTCATACCCTAAATACGGATGTAACACAATAGAAGAAGGAATAAATAGAAACCCGGGAACACTTGCGTCGATTGAGGATCTATCGAATAAATAACATGATAACGTCCGTAAATTATAAGCTTTCGGACCTAGAATTCCGTAATACTGAGCTTAAGGCTAGAACCAGTGTTGCCAGTTTCGAAGGTGGCCGCGACATTAGAACTCAGCCGAATTCACCAGGGCCCGTTTGCTCGAAGCCGGTTAACTTTGACCGCGGTTAAAAGTTAACCGCCCTTCCCTACTAGGTACCTAAAAGTACCTAGCCAAGTTTGACAAGGGCCGGATGAGCGATAGCTCCGTGTTTTATTATTGGGGTGGTAGCTGGTGTCACCTCCTGGCTCTAGCGAATATAAGTGGCTTCCGTGGAAAGGTTACCGAGATGGGGGTACCCAAAAAGGCGCGCTACCGTGTTTTCGCGACGCAGCGCAGATACATTTGAGCTCGAGAAACAATTTTTATTGCTCGTGGTACAGACAATCGGTAAGGTAAAACTAAATTAACCCATGTTTGGAAAATTTCGAAATATTTGGCTGTCTGAAGTGAAGACAAGCCTCGTTGAAATTTCCTTCCGAGTTCAAAAGAGGACGACGAAGTTCAGTCCTAGAAACGATGAGAAAGAAATGAGCAGTGAAAAGCGGGTGTTACACCGGCAGCATGGTTGGCCAGCATGTAAGAACTGTATATAACTCTCATAAATTGAGAAACCTGTAATTCGGCTCCAGTGAAAATTGACCTATTAGTAAATTACACTAACATTGAGAAGAACACTGGAAGTGTTATTCAACGATCCGCGCGCTCTGGCCTTCCACTTATAAAATATTCGAAGTAACTAATCATAATAAATCTTTGACGAATGCGCGTGCACGGCAAAATTTGTTGTAGGCTTTTTGCTTTCGAATACTTACTACTGCAGACGCCAGCACGCGCAGCGCGTGTAAGTACACTCGTAGCATGCACGTCGGTGCTTCGGAAATTCAGCATAAGGTCTATCGGGACGCTGCCTGCTTTTGTGTACTTTCAGTACCCGGCCGACTGAGTCAAGGCAATCCACTTTTCGAAGACGTTGCCATGCCGACAATTATCGCGTTCATTTAGGCCTACGAATTGCCAGAATCGAAAGGCTATCTAAAAAATGCGGCGATGTCATTGCTCATGCTTTGCGTTTTAAGTGAGGTAGGGCAAATCGAAAGCCTCCTGCACCATTCATTGCTGACAAACGCGCCCGATATTGCAGCTACAACGACGTATTATTTCCAAAGCGAGCGGCACTCACTCACCGGGGCACCGCCATGTTTCCCCGCCGTCCTTACTCTGCCGGTCACATGACCTAAAATTCCCCCTCGTAGGGAAATCCGGTTAACCGCGGTTAGTTAACCAGCTTCAAGCAAACGGGCCAGATTTCCCATAAAACTAATATCGCCGTAAAATAAAAAAAAGACAAATAATTTCAGCTTGTCAAACGCACATAATATTAATAATACAAATTCATGCCGTTCGACCTCTAGTCATGAATTTGAGCGTCATATATATCTGACTGGAACCTGCGTAGCATATCGTGTGTGATGATAAATTTCGCGCAGTGCATCTCTCTGGAGGCCAGCGTTGCGCGAACCCGTACAATGGCGTCCAAAGTATTCGATGACATTTTGTTCCTGACCTGGTCTTCACACACGCGACCTTACTGAAGACCCGCTCCACCACTGTATTTGACACTGGCTAAGAAAGACAGGCCAGTGCGCATACAGTGCCAGTTCCTTATAGGGTTTTTCAACCATGCGATTTTTATACTTCAAAATTCCAATCCAAAATAGTTAATTACTTCTCCTCCTCTCTCTCTTGCTGGTGTCGTTGAGAGAGGCTGAAGTTCTTCGTCGGGTTGCCGCCGATGTGAGGATGGCAACCCCCAATTCCGCCTTGGCCAACGGAGATGAAGTGGCAGAGGGACACCCAGGTGAAGGTTACGAATATATATATATAGGATTTATTTACATATATAGTTACGGACTGGGTTACAGATCTTAGGAGCTACGCGAGACCTCTCGGAGTCCTGGTGGCGTCTTGCCCCCTCCGATGCTCAGCGTAAACTGCCTTCCTCTTTCCCGCGCGCCCCCAAAATTCCAGGGATCGTCCCCACTTTCCCGGGCGTCTGGTCAGCATCGCTTGTCACCTCGCCGGTCGCTCCGCACCCCCCGCCGTGTCGTTCCGACCCGGCGGTTCTTCTCGCCGACTCCCCACATTTCCAACCCCGGTGCCTGAGATTCGGGTTACTTCGGAATTCGTTAATTGCCGTCGCGTCCGGGACTCGTAAACCATTGCGGGCCCCCTGTTTTCTTTTGAGCCCGTCACCAAAAAAACCATACAAGAATATATATACAGAACACAGTTTCCCCGAAAGTCCTGGGACCTAACATCTCCCCCCCAACTGTGTTGCTCGGGCTGCAAGAACGAGCAACACACCAAAACAAAAACACAAAGTCTCAGGACCTAGACGCGAAGTGTTCACCGTGCAGCCTGGAACGGCGATTAGCTCTAACCTTCCCGTATTACAAAATGAAGCTCTACCCTTCCGGTACATTCGTAGTAAAAGCAAACACAGAAACACAAACACACACAAAAAAAACATGCATTAGCACTAGCACATAATATTATACGGTTAGCACAACTCATATGGGAGGCCCCAGAGATCACTCCACCGAACGTCATGTCAGCCCGGAGCCATACCTCAAGGCCCGCCGTCTCTAGGTCGCAACTCTAAGCCTAGACAACGCGTCCGCACACTGGTTCATTGACCCCTTAATGTGCGATATAGTTATCTCGTAGCGCTGGAGCGCAAGGGACCATCGCGTCAGACGCGCGCTACTCGGGGATGTGAGGGTGAGGTACTTCAGTGGATTGTGATCCGTGACCACCTTAATTTTAGCCCCGAAAAGCCAGGTTTCGAGTTTCGATAGCGCCCACACGATCGCGAACGCCTCTCGTTCGATTGTTGCCCTGCGAGTCTCCGTCGGGGTTAGTTTTTTGCTCAGGAAAGCTATGGGTTGTTCCCTCCCCTCCCCATTCTCCTGCGAGAGACAGGCGCCAATCGCAAACTCGGACGCGTCCTTCGTCAAGACAAACTCTCTCATCAGGTCTGGCGCGGCCAGTTGGGGTGCCTCGGCCAACTTCCCCTTGGCGGCGTTAAAGGCTGCTTCCGCATCTGCGGACCACGGAATCTGGTTTGCCACCCTCTTACCTGTTAGTTTTGTCAGTGGGAGCACCAGTTCCGCAAAATGCGGTACATAGTCGCGATAGTAGTTGAAAAGGCCCAGAACACTTCTCAACTCCTTCTTTGTAGTCGGTCGCTCTAGGTCCCGCATGGCACGAGTGCGTTCGGGATCCGGAGAATGGGATCCACCTCCAATTACATGACCCAGGTACTTTACCTGATCTTTGCCGAACTGACATTTTTCTAGGTTGACGGCGAGCCCTGCCTCTCCGATAGTTCTCAGTACTCCAGCTAGATGAGTCATATGCTCCTCCCAGGTCTCAGAGAAGACTGCCACATCGTCAACATACGCACATGCGTACGCGGAGTGGGCCGCAAGCAGCTGATTCATCACTCGCTGGAAAGTGGCAGAGGAGTTACGCAGCCCAAAGGGCATCACTCGCCAGGCATACAGACCCCGCGATGTCGCAAAGGCAGTGCATGCCTGGGATTCGGGCTCTACAGGGATCTGCCAGTATTCCCGAGTCATATCCAGGACCGAAATGAAGTTCGCCTTGGCTGCCTGCCACAGCAGTTCCGTCGGCGCTCGCATGGGAAATGCATCAGGTTCGGTCATTGAGTTCAGGCACCGGTAATCAACGCACATTCTTACCGTACCGTCTTTCTTCATGACGCACACCACCGGGTGACTGAACATACTCTCGACTGGATAGATGAGACCCCAGTCCAGCAGCTGGTCTATTTGTCGATCCACCTCTGCTCTGAGCTTCATCGGAATCTTGTACGGATACGTCCGCCTGGGCTCTGTCCCCGCAACGATCCCGATCTTGTGCGAACCCACCTTACACTGTCCTGGCTTATCAGAAAACACGCCACCAAATTCAGCCCGCAAGCTGGTTAGGTCTTTGTGTTGCTTCTCAGTCAGGCGTGCCGCGCGATTAATTTGAGGCTCATTATTGGCCCCGCCGGACTCTCGCGCAGGGACGTACTCCAGTGCGCCGAACGCATCGTCAGCGTCAGAGACAACGCCCACTGCATTCATCCTAACGTAGTACCGCCTTAGTTTGTTCGCGTGTACAAGCCGCTCCCGTCCATCCGGCAGCTTCACAACATAACTGTGCTCTCTGACCCGCTGTTCGATCTTTACCGGACCGATCCACTTTCCTTTTAACTTACCGCTAGAGTCCTTCTCTAGGATCAGCGCTAGGTCTCCTACTGCAAAGGACTTTTCCCTGGCTCTCAAGTTGTACCGTGCCGCGTAAGCCTGCTGGTTTACCACGGTATTATCCTGCGCCAGATCAGCGGATTCTTTCATCCTTTTTCTAAGCTGCAGGAGGTACGACTCAGTGGACGAGTTAAGTCCCACGGGAGCTGCCCATTCTCCGGTCCAGTGCTTACTCAGTAGGGTGAGTGGACCGCTTGGACTTCTGCCGAACATCATTTCGAACGGTGACACGCCTGTCGTTTCATTGGGTACCTCATGATACGCCCACAATAGACATGGAACGTACTTGTCCCATTGCCCTCTGTGATCCTGAATTACATGACGCAGCATGGCTTTGAAAGTCCCATTCCACCTCTCAACTAGACCGTTGCTCTGGGGGTGATCTGGAGTCGAGAACCGCATCTCCACCCCCAGCCGCTCTGTTAGCAGTCGCGTCAGTTTTGCCACAAAGTTTGTGCCCTGATCCGAGCAGATTAGCTGTGGCGTTCCGAATCTGGCGAACACACCCACCAATGCGTCACATGTTGCTTGCGCCGTCAATGATCTCAGGCAGACTACCTCGGCCCACCTCGTACACAGGTCGACTATGCAAAGCGCGTACCGGTGACCCCTTGCCGAAGGAGGGTCAAGCGGCCCGATGCAATCTATGAAGATTGTTTGAAATGGTAGCTCAGGCCGCGAGAGCGGTGTGATCGGCACTCTATCCAGTACGTTTGCCCTCGACTGTACCTGGCACGCATGGCACGACTGGCAGTGTTTCCTGACATCTTGAGCCATCGTTGGCCAAAAGAACGCGCCCTTTATTCTCTTCTTGGTCTTCTTCTGCGAAAAGTGCCCACCCCACGGGGAGTCATGCGCCAGCTCGAGCACCTTTTCGCGCCTGGACGCCGGCAACACCACCTGCTCACAAGGTCGGCCATCAACGTCATCTTTGTGATACAGGAGCCCCTCGCGCACAACCATGCCGTGTGTCCCGTTCTCAGCCTCCTTCCAGGCATCCCTGAGTGATTCGTCGTTGAGCTGCTCTCTGCGGAATTCTGTTACGCTTGTACCCTCTCCTGCATCAGGCGGATTCGTCACGAACTGCACCTCGGCCTGAATTTCGTTCTCCTCGAAGTCTACCGGCTCACCCCCGAGCCCCTCTGGCAGGTCGGGGCCCAGATCATCGGCTTCAGCTTCAAACTCGGCCTTCGCCCTGAGGAGTTCATCGTACACGTCGGGTGTTATGAGCGCGTCAATTCCGTCAGCCAGCTCCTCTGTTACCGCGCACAGGGTTATAACCTGTGGTCCGGTGTCGTACTCGTCACAGTCGGCCCGCAGCGGCACGTACATCAAGTCAGCTGTTATTGACTGACCGAAGGCTCCGCGGAGAACAATGGGTCCCGAAGTTTCAAGGCTCCCACTTTGGATTACACTCCGCCTGATCACCGTGATATCCGCCCCCGAATCCAACCTCCCCTGGAATTTGTTATGCTCGGATACCAACGGGATCGATTGGACTCGTGACCCAATAGAAGTGTTCGTCGCGATGTCCCTCTCGTTTGCCACCACACTCCGTAGCTGCTCGCTGCGATCGCGCCCTACACCAGCAACGGTACCGCCTTTAGGAGCCTTATCCTTAGGCTTCGGGCAGTTGGCCCAAATGTGCCCCAACTTCCCACATCCGAAGCAGCTTCTTTTCTCTGTACCCGAAGCCACGCCTTTATCTTTCAGACTTGGTTTATTCCTCTCGCAACTCGGGAAAGGTGGCCCCTGTTTAGCCCTCGATTCCTTCTGCGTTCGTTCATAGTTTACCGCAAGTTTGGCCACTTCTGCGGGCGGTAACCATTTTCCTTTTTCGCTCAGGTCGACATATGCTCTCGTGTCTCGGTGCATCGTGCGCTTCAGCTGATCAGCTATCAGCAGCTGCCTCAGCATCTCCATAGATGTCACCTCGCTACTTTTCAAATAATAACCAAGAAAATCGCCCAGACGAGATGCAAACTGTCCCCAGGACTCCTTTTCGTCCTTTCTAGTTTTGTAAAACAGCTCCCGATACTCCGCTGGAGCAAGCTGAAGCTCCTCAAGCATCGCTCCTTTTAGGTCGTCGTACGACGGCATCGCGTCAGCAGCGATTCGGTTTGCGACCGATCTCATTCTCTCCGTGAGGAAGGGGAGGATCATTGCGCCCCTGATGCTTTCCGGCACGTGAAGGCTATTGAACATACTCTCCACCCCGGAGAACCACGAAGGCACCAACGGTTCGGACTCTGGCATGTTGGACAATACGCCCCTTACAATCCGCGAGTACCTAAGTACCTCGTCCCCCTTCGTTCGAGCAGCGCTGGCTCCTGACGTGGTGTCCTGCGCCCTGGCAAGTCTAGCCACTTCCAGCTCTAGTTTCAGCTTTTCTATCTCCATCTCCATTAGTTCCTTTCGGAGCTGCAAAGCGTTACTGTCCATATCGGACACCCCTTCTGCCCCCAATTCACTACTGCTTTCAGACGACTGGCCTTTCTTGGTGTTTGCTCGCGTACCCAACATGACGCCTAGAGGAGAACAACAAAGGGACCTCCCACCTGGTTGTCGTGTCCGCCACGATCACGGGCCGCTGTTAGTCCCGGATAGCTGCACCAGGCTTGGCCGCTGCCGACTTGTGGCACTGTGCAGATGAGATGTCTTGAGGAGCAGCGTCTGCAGCAATCACCAGCTGCTTTCCCGTCACACCTGCGGCAACGGTCGAACGTCTCTTTTCCGGCGAGCTTCCACGGCTCCTCGTCGCACCTGCGGCGACAGCCGGACAGTCAACGTTCTCCGATGATCTCGTCGACCTTGCGTCGCAGTTCCACGACGATTGGATGCTTGTTTCCGTATCCGTCAAGCTCTTCCAGCTCGCTGTCGCACCACCGGCGACAGACGGACACTCAGCACTTTCCGACGATCTCGTTGGCCTTCTTCGCAACCCTGGCGACGGCCTGACGTCTTGTGTCCGGCGAGCTCCTGCGGCTCCTGATCACACCTCCGGTGACTGCCGGGCACTCCACGTCGTCTGGTGTTCTTGGCCCCACGCCGCACTCACGGCGACGGTCGGACGTTGAGGTGTCTGCTCCCAAGGAGCTCCTGCGGCCCACTGTCACGCCTTCGGCGACAGCCAGACACTCGACGTCCTTCTAGGGTCGCAGCTTCACTTCGTCACTCCAACGGCGACGAGTCCCAGTCATTCGTCATCTTCACCTGCAAAGCTCTTGGTGTCCCTTGTGATGAAGGCAGCTTTCTCATCCGAAAGGCGGTGGCGGAATCCTGTCGACTGCGCCAGTTAATTACATCTCCTCCTCTCTCTCTTGCTGGTGTCGTTGAGAGAGGCTGAAGTTCTTCGTCGGGTTGCCGCCGATGTGAGGATGGCAACCCCCAATTCCGCATTGGCCAACGGAGATGAAGTGGCAGAGGGACACCCAGGTGAAGGTTACGAATATATATATATAGGATTTATTTACATATATAGTTACGGACTGGGTTACAGATCTTAGGAGCTACGCGAGACCTCTCGGAGTCCTGGTGGCGTCTTGCCCCCTCCGATGCTCAGCGTAAACTGCCTTCCTCTTTCCCGCGCGCCCCCAAAATTCCAGGGATCGTCCCCACTTTCCCGGGCGTCTGGTCAGCATCGCTTGTCACCTCGCCGGTCGCTCCGCACCCCCCGCCGTGTCGTTCCGACCCGGCGGTTCTTCTCGCCGACTCCCCACATTTCCAACCCCGGTGCCCGAGATTCGGGTTACTTCGGAATTCGTTAATTGCCGTCGCGTCCGGGACTCGTAAACCATTGCGGGCCCCCTGTTTTCTTTTGAGCCCGTCACCAAAAAAACCATACAAGAATATATATACAGAACACAGTTTCCCCGAAAGTCCTGGGACCTAACAAAAATGTTGCAGAATCATCTGGAATTTTGCCGTTGAAAACAGTCTCATTACTCGAAACATGCATAACAGTATTTCTGGACTAAAGTTCAATAACATTAAGATATTCTTAAATCAGATGGTGAAGTGGAAGTTGCACAACAGAAAGTCGGGCAGTTTGGGACAGAACTTCTGAAGGGTGAAGTCCACTGATGCATTGGAAAATTGCTCGATTGGCAGGAAGGCGCTTTTCCACTTCCTTTAGAAACTCACTGAGAAAATCTTGGCAGCGTTGCTTGTGCCCTCGCCCTGCAGCTTCATTGAGGCTTGACACCTGGCGCTTGCAGCAGCGAAGGAATTCATTGACAAACTGAGCTCGAAAATCTGTCATTCCCGAGGAAAGCTTATGCACTTGCTTGCTTAAGATTCTTGACTTGAGCGATGCGACGCGATTTAAGTGCCTCCGAAATTTCGTGTAGATCGTAGGTCATCGGTTTCACGGAGGCTAAACGTCCTTGATTACACTCGCGATTCGGAACAGGATGCCACGATACGGCAAAAACCAGCGGAACGATGGCGAAACCGCGGAGGCCACAGTTTGGGAACCACGTGGCTACAGAATCACAGATGCAGAAAGAGCAGCAGGCGCAGTGGAAGAGAGTTCCGCTACGGGCGCGCCGCAGATCCCTTCGCGCGTCTCCCGGCAGATGTCAGCACAGGTACTTCACGGCCACCGCTCGCGTGAAGAGCGGCCTGCCCACATAACTTTGGATGCTCTGGCGGACATAGGCGCCAGTCTGCTCCCCCTGGGGAGCATATAGAGGCAATTTAGACGGGAGCAGGCAAAGAGGCATGAAAACCTAGCGGCTGTAGCTGCAGCTGCCATAGTACGGAAGCAACATAGCAAGTAGATGTTGAATGAATTAATACAAATATGGGCGCTACTCTTACGATCGGGAGGCCGCTTCCACCACCTAGTGCTAAACATTTGGATCAGCAGCGCCGGCAGGGGATGATTTCGGCATAGAGTGGTTTTGCCTATGTCGGTTTTCCCCAGAAATCACCAGATTTTGTATGGTGTAATAGTGCGCTGATCTGGACACCAGGAGCCCTAAAATGTCACCAGATTTTCGAAATCGGTGGCGAATTTCACCAGATGGCGACGCTGGCTAGAATTGGACACTGCGTTTTCGTTCCTTCATTGTGTTGTTTAGGTAGTTTGCGTACATCCAGTATTTTCTACTACCTTTGATGTGTCAGCTATGTATTGGGCCAACTCCGTGTGCGGTTTCCCTCGACTTAGAGTTCGTCTCTTCCTTTCTGCAAGATGCCCTGGGTGGTGTGTCCTTATCTGTTCTCCGTACGCAGTTTCTGTTTATCCGAAGTGTGCCATTCGGTTCGTCACCTATTCTCAATCTCGCCCTCTTCCTTTTTTTCTTTTCAGAGCGGAGCTGTTAAGGGCTAGTTACCCTAGTATCGTGTCCGTCCTGCAAAGAAATGATGACAGCAAACTCTGGACGGATACCACCATCTGTAAGCGACGGCGGCAACCAGACAACCGGCTTGCTGGTTGTCTGGTTGCCGCCGTTTGTCATAGATGGCGGAAACCTTTCTATACTCTCCACTCTGTCCTGCCGACTTGAGGCCGGCCATTACTTCATTGCCACCATAGTCCAGCTTCGCTGGTCTTCCTTCTTCGCCAAAACCACACACACATATATATATATTTTAGAGATATTTGTCATTTATGTACTCTTCGACCTCCATGCGCGGCTTCCTTCGACTTAAGGGCGGCTCAAACAGACTCGGAATACGGAACCCGGGAGCCGGAACCTGTACTGACGTAATCACTTCCGGCTCCCGTTTACGGGAGCTGACGTCACGGTTTGATTTGAACGGCGCCCGGCGCGGGTCTCCGTATACGGGACCTGACGTCACGGCGGCTCCCCAGGCAACCAATCAGCGGCTGTCGTCAAGCCGGGTCGTCGCCCGGGGGCCCGGGCAGCCCGGGCGCCCGGCGCGCTCCGTCTAGAGCGGCACCGGCGGCACCGCGGCACTCGCTTTGTTTCGTGATGGCGTCGTCTCGGCAAAATCCCGGCTACGAAGCTCGAATTGCCTCACTTATGAGCCTTCGTGTAGTGAGGTGCGTCACAAATGCAAGAACTATCACCTGGCGTCGGCTGACTACTTTCGCGGCTGCGTGTGGGCAGTACCTACGGAACGTGAAAAAAAGAAGCGAAAGGCCGTCCGCGAGCTCCTGAAGCCTCCAAAAATGTTCGACGAGTATGCCACCATCGTGAGACTACAGTCCTACAGTGTTGTGAGACAGATGTTCGAAGACCCCGACGACCGGGAATTCTTTGAGTGCTTCCGAATGTCACGAGCAAGGTAGGGTGTGCTGCTTTTTATTTTGGATTATTTTCATGTTATATATCAAGTGGCGTTCCCCGTGGGCCCGCGCGTCGCTCGCAGGAATACTCACCTGGAGCGTGTGCTCTCGCAGTGAAAGCACGTTTATATCATTTTTACCGCGGCAGGATCACGAGAGCAGCTTTTGTAACAGTCACATGCTTGTCAAATTTTACTGCGTCTGTGCTATAAAAAGTGAAAGCCGTTTACAACTCCCTGTAACGCCGAATTAGAGCGCAGCTCTTGAGGAGGAGGAGGGAAGGGTACTGGGGGGGGGGGGGGTCAAGTGACCTTGGGTGGGGGTCACGTGACCTAGGGGGGTCACGTGACGATGCCGATGCCGATGACGTCATCAGTAACGATGACGATGCGAATACCGATGACGTCATCAGTGACGTCACTGATGACGTCATCAGTGGTGATGATAATGACGATGCGGATGCCGGTGACGTCATCAGTGACGTCACTGACGACTTCATCAGCGATGATGACGATGACAATGCGGATGCCGGTGACATCATCAGTGATGATGACGATGACGATGCGGATGCCGGTGACGTCATCAGTGACATCACTGATGACGTCATCAGTGACGTCACTGATGACGTCATCAGTGATGATGACAATGACGATGCGGATGCCAGTGACGTCATCAGTGATGATGACGATGCGGATGCCGGTGACGTTACTGATGATGTCATCAGTGATGATGACGCTGAAGATGCGGATGCCGGTGACGTCATCAGTGACGTCATCGGGGGTCACGTGACCCCAGGGTCACGTGACCTTGGAGGTCACGTGACCCTGGGGGAGGGGTCACGTGACCTTGGGGTGACCTTGGGGGGTTACGTGGCCTTGGGGAGGGGTCACGGGACCTTGGGGTGACCTTGGGGTCACGTGACCTTGGGATGACCTTGGTTACGCCGACGGCGACGGCGAAACCGCTCAAGCCGGGAACAGGCCCCTAAGAGCTGCGCTCTAAAAAATAGCAATAGCATGCACATGTGCAGCTCGTACGACACACTCTTTCGGTCCACAAAATCTGGTCACGGTGTTGTGCTCCTTTGAGTGCATGTATGAGGGAAGCCCGTTGTGCTTCCTTGTCCTTTGTGCTAGCTATGATGTGTGCTTACAAGCTTTCTGCACGAAAGCTCGCGCTGCAGAACCCAGGGATATTGGGTTCAATCCCCACTCCTGCCCGTTTCGATCTAAATGAGCATCGTACCAGCAGACGTTCGTGTTTC